GAAAAGGGACATCAATTTTCATTCTTACTTGCTTTTCATTACTTGGATACTTGAGAGCTCTTTTAGCTGAGCTGAGTAGAAGGATATTATCGTACTGGACTTGTTTATTTATCTTCTTTTGTCCTGCTGGTGGGGAAGATAGTTCTGTTTGAGGATTCGTAACTCCTGTTGTATTTCAACATTTTTGAGATCATAGGAAATGTTATGTGATGTTTTGGGTCTATTATGTCTGTGTAAGTGGTGGGGGCAAGTGTGATTGGATGACTAAGATAAGAGTGGGACAAGAGTGGAGTAGGCCATTTTGATTTATGACATTTCAGCTTATCAAGTTGACTGTCAATTAGCATGAAGACAAATGATTAACTAAATGCAGAAATCACTTAATCTTTCCCCTCCAAACCCTTCCTGGTATCCCTGTCCCCATACTGCAGATATTGCACAGCTCCCTCTATGCACAGAGCAAGAGTCAGTGTCTGGTGACTTCCTTTCTTTTACTGTCCCTATTCCTTATGCTATTCCTTCACAAATCAATATCTCCCCAGTCACCTACTCTTCTGTCATCCTTCTATTCCTGCTTGGGTAGCTCCAGACCCTGACTGGCTGACTCCCACTGTGCTTCTGCTTTCTGTAGTCCCTCTCCTGCTCTCTTCCTGCATTCCACAAGTTGGTTCCTGACCATCTTGTACATTTTGCAACACCTCTCCTACCAAAACCATGTCAACTTAGCCCAGCATCAAGGGAATTATTATTATTATTATTTTTAGCATACTGGAAGGGCAGGCTAGTAAGGATGTCAGCTAGTGCTGTAGAAAATCATACCTGCTTCTCTAATTTTATAGTAATTAAGAAAACAGAAACCCTGCCTTAAGAAGATGTAGATGTTAAATCAATGTGAGCATGATTTAGGAGTCATGGTAAACAAAAGCATGGTAGTACGGTGGTCTTTTAGCACTAGGGTGGCACAGTCTGGAATTATCAGACACATCAGTGAATGATACTAGAATGATAATCCTTTTTTTTTAATGCCAATCATGGGTTAGTGAGGAAAGTTCTTTCTAACCTTTTGTACTAACTTATGCTTCACTTGTGAAAGCTTTAATTAATCCCAGATATAGAAGAAGGAACACACAGGAACTTGCATTCATTAGTCTGCTTTTTTTGTGAAAAGAAGATGTTAAGATGTCAAAATGGAAAGGGTGGTTGAAAGCACAATTAATTTGACTATTAGGACACAGGACTGCCTCCTAAGCCGAGGCTAACACAGATCACATATCAACAAGCTGATTTCTCTATCAGTGATGGAAAATAAATGGTGTGACTCTACCTATTTGAATGCTGCTTGTCACACTTCTTTGGCTCACTCATTGCCAGGAGGATTTTACCACTTAATTCGTTTTAGTCTGTTTGACCGTTGTAATGTTGCAATCTAAGTGAATTAACAGCAGCATACTAGCATTAATGTTCCTGCTGTGCGGGAGCAGACATTTCTGATAGTCCGTCTGTGTTTCTGTGGCAGGCTGCTAGTTTCTCTTCTTACTTAAGATATTTCTGGAAAAATAAGTGCCTCTCTACAATTAGTGATGAGTTCTTGTCTCAGTTCTTACTACTGTCTTTAATGAGTAGTGAATACTGAGTACTAAGTTCTTTGTGGTCATGAAGGAATGTTAAGGGAAAGGTGAAAGAAAGGGAAGAGAAACAAACTGATAGTTTCCATACAATTATTTTTTCTTTTTTAACTATGTTCTCTTCTCTTGTAGCTCTGTACTGACAAAACTACAGTTATCTGTGTATAAGTGCATGTATATGTAGTTGTATACACACAGAGACATGCATACACTGTGTCTTGCACTTAACAAGAGAAAAAGGAAACTCTTAAATAAGTAACATCACTTCAATGCAGTTAATTTAAACTTCCAAACTGGTAGGACATCATGACCTGCTTTGATAACAGAAGAACAAAAAGTCTCAGAGTAAAGATTGGTTAGGAAAAGTTGTAAACATTGTGTTTATTTTACATATTAACTTACATTCATCTCTGAGTGTCTTAGCAAATGTAAAGTTAAAGTAGCTCTACAGTGTTGCCACAGAAAAGTACAAATGATATAGCTGTACAGGAGCTTTGAAGGGCTGTACTGGCAAATCAGTGACGGATTCTTTAACAGTCTTCGTCCTGTAGAGATAAGGTAACTTCCATTTGTGTGAAGAAGTAATCAGTATAAATGTTCATCATCAAGTGTCAAAACATATTTTGGAGGCATCTGAAGTTTAGTATCCTTATTAAAAAACCCTCTTAATTACCCCAGTAATCTGGCAAAATTATGATTTCTCTAATTGTTTTGTGCTTTTTATGCCATGGATTTAGCAGTACCTACTGCTCTGTTGTCACAGAGTGGAGACAGCATGTCACTCAGCAAACCTCTAGCTTCAGTCAGAGCATGGAAATGCTTTGTAACTTGTTTATCAGAAGTTATAAATAGCACATGAAGTTTTATTAATGCTGTGTTTTATCTAAATGTGATGCATATGCTGGCCACACATGCCTTGCAAAGTGCTCTGGTTTGTGAAACCGGAGAAACGCTGCTGATCAGTTGGCAGTGACATGCAAGCAATCTAATCAAACAGAAGAGACATAGCTAGGTCTATGGAAGGTGGCAGTACAGGAGAACATCATCTCAGGGCTCACCAACTAAACTTGTACTGGCACTCCTAAATGCTTTAGTTACATAGTTTTCACCTGGCTTGTACATAGCAAAACCTTAGCTTTTGAATGTTTCAGCTGTATGAGGTCTGGTTCAGTGATAGCACTGGATAGCAGCTCTGGTCAGAAGTATTCATTCACCACACAGCTATGCTTTAGATTCAGCTCTTCTTTTGCATTTTTAGTTAGTGTAGTTAGGGCCATTATTTTCTCCTTCCAATATCAGTCTTCATACGGATACTTCTGGATAGCTTTTTGTGTGTGTGTTGATTAGCTCTTAAACTGCCTCAGTGTTAAATAACTGGTTGCATTATGGTAATATGCATCACATTACATTTGGATGTGCTTAACTGGATGGTAGGTGAAAGATGCTTTTATCTAATACTGAAAGCGAGAATGAAATCTTAAGTATGATGAATTTATTCTAAACATTCAAAAGAGCAATTAATGTAAAGATTATATTGAAACACAAGAACTATGAAAGTCGCTTGTACATAATTTTTGTGTTTGTACAAGGGATTGGGATCAGGAGTAATCAGGAATACTGCTTATGTAACTGGGTGATATAAGGAGAACGTTAGTTGATATTAAGTGTACTGTGACGTTTGTATGGAGGACTAAGACATACATTCGTCCCTCTGGACTGCATGTATTCTCCTTTAGCTTTCACTGGAACAATAAGTCTTTGTTCTGTTCTGTATTCCTCAGACCATTTCTTCTAACACTTAGCATAAGAGATCACCACCTCTTCCAGCAGACAGGCTTCAAGTAGCCTTATCTCCCAGCTGAGGAGTACAGTTCTGCTACTGGAGACAGCTGGTTCTGAGTGCATTCAGTGCCAAGCAGCAGAAGTGTTACTGAGAGTTCATATATAACTGATTTATAAGAAGGCCAGATTGTAACTGTTTGACTGTGATTACTCCAAGACCTTTTTTTTTTTTTTTTTTTTTTGCTTTTATTTTTGGCAGAAAAATGTATTAAGAGCTTAGCCTCTTACTTAAAGGGAGATAAGGGCAGGGACAAAAGGTATGTTTATTATCATTTTAGAAACAGGATAAAGAAAAGTAATTAAAAATGCCTGCAAAGCTAAACCCAAATTGAAATGCTTTTAGTCCATTTTTTTCTTATTTAATGAAGCATTTCCTGAAGAATACAACCATCTATGTGTCAGTAAAATGTAGCTAAGGTGACAGCCATCGTAGTAATGCTAAAATACATTTTTTATTTCATGCAGTACTAATTAGAAACACGGAATGGTTTGGTTTAGAAGGAACCAAGATTACCTATTTCCAATGCGGCTTGTAAGAAAGATGGAGAGAGATCTTCTGTTTGTGCCTGTAACAATAGGGCAAGCTGTAATGGTTTTAACTAACAGAGGGTAGACTTAAAGTAGGCATTAGGATGAAATTCTTTATTCAGAGGGCAGTGAGGCGCTGGCACATGCTGCCCAGAGAAGCTGTGGATGCCCCATACCTGAAAGTGTTTAAGGCCAGGTTGGGTGGGGCCCTGGGCAGCCTGATCTGGTGGATAGCAATGCAGCACACAGCAGGAGTTTGGAACTCTAGCTTGGTTTTTCCTCATCTCATTTCTAAATGTCTTGGTTTGCATCCCTATATTCTTTCGAGGCTGCATGTCTTGATAATGATCACGAGGGAAAATAAATCATTAAATAATCTTTTTTTTTTTACCTTGCATGACTTAATTTGCTAAGCAGTTAACTTTGAACAATTCATGTTGTATGTATTTAGTGCTGCTGTGAGAACATATAGGTGTGAAGCTCCAAAAGGTGAGGGCTTCACAATGATGAGATTGTTCTTAAGTATAATTAATGTTTTCAACTAACTCTATTTATTTAGCCAGTTCAGTTTCAGATTATAATTTGAGGTTGAAAAATCAGAATACTGAAAGGCTTCTCAGAAGATGGGTGCTCAGTGTTGCACACATTCGGCAACATGCAGTGAACGTGAAGTTACACATGTGCTAATGACAGCTTGAAGGGATAGATGGAAAGTAATGAGTGAGGAGTGATGGAACACAGCTGAATCTTTGTTGAAAGATGTCAGCCTTTATCTGACTCTACATTTAAGTGCTGATTTTGCTTTTGGAGGCTTGCATTTTGCTTGTATGTGTATATTAATTTAGTCTATCTGCTGAATGCATCAGTACATGATATTTTTTTTCCTAAGAACTTTTTTAAGTAAAGTGAAATACTTGCAACCTACTGGGCACAACTGGTAGATAACTTGTGCACAACAATATTACATCCCAGTCATGTTCATGACTTTCACTTTCTGTCCTTCAGGGAACAACCTATCTTCAGCACCCGAGCTCATGTCTTCCAGATTGACCCAAACACTAAGAAGAACTGGGTTCCCACCAGCAAGCATGCTGTTACTGTGTCCTACTTCTATGACAGCACAAGAAATGTCTACAGGATAATCAGTTTGGATGGCTCAAAGGTAAGTTTTATTTTAGAGAAAACTTCCTTGCTTCTTTTTTGACTTTTGTATTTATGTTCCAGGCTGATTTATCTTCTCAGATGCTCTTGTCAGCATCTTAGTGAGTGATAAGTGATGTGTTGAAATGGTTATATTGTTTTATTAGATATTTTAAGCATTCTTGGAAAAATACTGTTTTCTAGTGTTTGTATAGACTTAGGTAACTCTGATAAATCTAAGTGGTGACCTACTAATATTGAGCAGTCAAAAGGTATTGCCTTTGAGGTGTACTAAAAACTACAAGTAGTGTTCCAATAAATTGTTTCTCTCTCAGTATCCAATGATGTACTGAAGTCATTGATTTCATCCTTCATCATGAAAGACATCTGTTCAGTGCCTGTAATCACTCTATAAATCCTTCTTTGTTACTTAATCTTCCAATTTTTGCAGTACAGCTTGTGGTGATTCCTTCTTAAAGCTCTCCAAAGTAAGCAGTTAGCAAAAGTCATTTGGGTTGGGTTTGGGATAAGGGTTATGTTTTGTTTTTTCATTTTTCTATGCTGGGAAAGGTAATATGTTGAACTGCTTAAGATAGTAATTTGGAAGACCTGGGGAAAACACTTGACTGTTTCTTAAGTTCTATCCCAAATGTGTCTAAAAACAGTAGTTGTGGAAACAACATGTCAAGAAATCTCATCAGTAAGAAAACTAACATTTTACGAAATGTTATCAAAAGCAGTAATCTTTTCAAGTTACTTTCAACTGCAGCTTCTGCAAATGTGTGTGTTCATGATAGTTGGAACTAAAGTATATTGTTAAAGCACAATGGTGTTTCTGGAGATTTCTTGGCTTTGTTGAAAGCTGAAAACCATTACTGTGCATATTTAAAGTTTTGAGTATTGCTACTTTGGTTGAGGAAGAAAAAAGTTCTATCATACAGAAGTGTTAGGAATTTTTTATCAAAGATCTCTGTATGATATTCATTTAGGTGATTGAGGCTCTGGTATTAAAGCTTACCAACATTTTCCAAATTTTGTCTTTGTCTTCCTTTTCCAGCCTTCCTTCAAATGATTTTTGCTTCTGTCAGATAATTAGGATACCTTTTTTGTGTATGTGTATGACTATTTATGAAAGACTTGGATCTCAACTTGATGTTGTATAAGATCATTGCTGATAGTTGTCACGTATAGCACCCAAACTGATCTGCTCAGTTTACAAAATTCTTCTTCCAATACAGAGAGTTCTGTTGCCTAATGCTACAGTTCTTGCATCGTGACTGCTAAGTTATGTTGTCAAGTAGTTGTTCATCTGTTTATATGCTCTTTTGTCTACTGCGGTACTTTCTTTGTATTTATAATACAATTGGCAAGGTATATTGATAATGCAATTTGTCATTTTTATTTATTCTTTTTAATTGCTGCCATCACAGTAATATTTTCATCTCAAGCACTGTGTATCTGACTAAGATCTAGGACCCCTAGCATGATTAAGATGCACTATTTCAGGGATCGCTACACTACTCTGAAACACACAGTTGAGTACCAGAAGGTAACTCAAATAATAATAAATAAATAAAAATAAATAGATGATCCTGCTAGGCTTTCTTGAAAGCCACATTGCTGATGATGAGTACCTTATGGGTCTGGAGAGAATGAAGACCATGTGGCTGCTCAGTTACAGTGGCCTAGGTGCTAAGTAGTGAGTTGGTAAGTGATAGCTGCGAACAGTCTTTCCACCTGGACTATAGAAAGTCTGAGAGAGTGAGGTTTGAGTCCTGCTTCTGCCATCCATGCCCCTTTCCAATCTTCAGGTCCATTCCATTCCCTTAGAGCTCCCTCATGGAGCAAGACTTCACCATCTACTCTCTCTGCAGCCCTGAGGGAAAAGATGCATTCTTCAGATTGCTTTACAGCCAGGCAGCCATAAGCTGAGTGTTTCAAGTCGGGGTATAGAGGTATCTTCTCTACTAGCTGTTTTCCGTAACTATTTTTAAGCAAATGTATTTTTTCTTCACTAGTAACTGGAACAATTCTTCAATTATTTTATTTCAGTTTTTTAAAATTTTCATGTCAGTATCTTGAAAGCAAGAGTTTTGGTGCTGGTTGGTAGGGGGCAACCACAAACAAGCCTCATATAATTTGTAGATCCTGTTTCTCCCTTTCCCTCCCCCCCCTCAGGTTTCATTAGGTTTCCTGAATAAAATCGAACTCCTACCCAAAGACTGAACTTCACTATGTTGCTCTACTTTAAAACAGGATATGATCTTTTATGGGGTGATCTCCACTCACTTCTGAGAAATCCTACCATACATTTCAGATACACTTGAGTTTGCTTGTGGAGATCCTTGATGCATTTTAAGAGGTTTTATTTTTTCCTTGTTCCATTTCACTTGGTTTGTGAGCAAGATACAGCTGTTAGACATGTTCTGTTTACTCCTTCTAGAGGCTCAAATAAATGTGTTGTATAAACCAGGTGATGGAGCAGCCAAGCACAACTCATCCTTTTCCAAACAGCTTCATCCTACTCAAAATTGTGTTAGCTTCCATCAGTTTTAGTTTGTAAATTGCTCTCATGTAAAAGTAGGCGTAGCTGGGCAAGTCATTGGGTTAATGGTTCTTGTGGATGTAGTATTTAGGTAGATTAAACTGTTCTTTTATGAGATTATTCCAGCTATATATATTATGCACTTTTCAAGCTATACACTGGTTCCCATCTCTGTGTAATGTTTTCCAAAGCTTCTATGTCTTCATAAAATACCTTGTACAAGAAATGAGGCATTTCCCTCTTACTTATCTCTGATAAATGTTCTAGGACCATAATGTGTTCACTGGACAGGACACATTTTATAGCTATATACAGTATCTGTCACCCATTGCAGAGAGATCCTGATGCAGATAATCTGGTAGAACTCAAACCTGACTGCGAGCAAATGCTTTTTATGCAACTTTTCTTCATATAACAGTAGAAATCAAGAGAAAGCCTGAAAAATAAAATCTGTTATGCAATACAACATGACCACATTGAGAAGCTGTTGCTAAGGCTTTCAGTTCTCATTAATTATATAGTCACTTCATATTTTCTTATGTCTTAGTTCTTCTTTCTAGTAGGTGATGGAAGGAAGCCTCCATTATTTCTCCAGTAACACTGCGTGTGGATATTAATTTATTCCCATAATCCCACTGTCATTTCCATTCAATCTCTGGTAGCCACTAAGGAAGGAGAATAAGTAAAGCGGTTCTTTTGGTACCAGTGAATGCTCTGATATTATTTTCACTGTTGTAAAATTGGAAAGAAAGCAGTAATTTGTGTCTATCTAAAACAAAAGACAACTTAGGAAAAGAGTGATTTTTGTCTGTAGATTTCATAAGCCATGCACATAATGTTTCTGCTTTGAGTTAGTCATTAGTGATCTTTACATTTTAATGACTTAATGAATAATGAAAATACATTAATCATATGTTAAAATAATAATGCTAAATACAGGTTGTAGATAAGTCCCATGAGCCCAGGTCTTCAGTGACCTTGCTTTGAAGAAATTCAGAGATACTCTGTGTCTTAATTTTTATTGCCATCATCTTTAGCATGAGCTGAAATCATACTTGACTGCTGCTGTTTTTCTTGCAAGTGTTGGACTTGCAGTCAGAAAAATGAACAGCCTAGTTAGACATGTGCTCTATTTTCTCATAGCTAAACTCATTTGAAAGTAAAACATGAAAGCTATTTTATTATTCCAACCAAATCTAAAGATAACAAGATCACTTTCTTCAAAAGCTAAATGTTTGCCTGTCAGATTGACTCTGTTCTGTTTTTAAGATATTCTTGTACATTTAGACTAACAACATTCTTAAAGGTTGATGACATATTTGACGTTCCTTACACTAGTGACTCTACAGTGCAATCTCCTGACATGGAGGAGAGTGGTTAAGACAGCATTTGTATAGATGAAACAAGTTAATAATAAATGATAATTCTAAAAACATTATTTTTTTAAGCTGAATTTATGAATACTAGTATCTAGTATTTCCAGAAGTAGCGAACGCTGCCTGTATCTTTAGTATGCTCTGGCACTGCACAATCTTAAAGCATAATTAAACATGAGACATTGAGCACACTAATGCTTTTAATTCAGAGAATTGAAAGCCTTGATTTTTTTCTTTTAAAATTGGTATAACTAATAAAAGGGCTTGTCTTTGTGTCAATGGAATCTGAGAGTCTAATCTTCAGGTGAACACTGTCTGCTGGAGTGGAGCATTCTTGTTTTTCTTCTGTTGGAAAACAAAGGGCAGAATAGTAGCAGCCCTTTCTCAGCATGGTATTTTTCTAAAAAGATTTCTTTCTACCAAATAGAAAGAGGTAATTTTGGTAATCTACTTTGAGTGCAGACTGCTGTCAAAACCTTTGGCCTTTTTGTGTCTGCCATTACCTGGATTATCCCTTGCATAGGCAGGCATGTGGTCTCAGCTGATGCATTGAGCAGTCTCAGATGAAAGCTCATTGTTTTGTCCAAGGTTTTGCACTGGGTTTTCAGTCACTGCAGCAGGTTCCAGACCTCATGCTTTCAACCTGCCTGTTGCTTGCAGGTTCTGAGTCTTCTTCTGCACTGAAGAGTATTATACCAGTGACAGAATACCTTCACTCTCAAATCTGACATTAGTTCCAATTACCCAGGCAGTGAGTGGGGGCTAAGTAAGCCGACAATATAGCTATAGCTTGAGCTGGGGAGAAGGATTGTTTTCTACACTGTCTCCAGGGTAGTTCATTTAAATCGTGCTGCTTTTGGCAGCTTCCACAGCAAAAGAGGGCTGAACGTTAGAGGAACTTTAGGAACTCTGTTACAGACTTCCACCAGATTATTTATTAAGGAGGGCTTCTGAGTACTAAGGAAAAAATACAAGATAAAGAGAGCCTCAGAATGTCTTTCTAATAAGTACACCTCTGTTGTCCCATGCATTTTTCTTTCCTGTTTGATGCAGACAGCTTTTCCTGATGAAGTCCTTTAGGGTCCTTAGTTCAATTGTGACCCTCTTGGCTTTATTTGGGCCTTCAACTCTACACTTAAAGGAAGGAGAATATTGTCTGAATTACCAATGACTTCTTGTTATAATGTAGGACACATGTCTAATGTGTCCCATTTGAAAATGTTTTAAGTTTTGTGGACAATTAAGTTTGCAGTTGTTTTTTCAGCCTTTAGTCAGACAGCAAATCCTATTCTTTATCTGATGAGACTTGCTGAATCAAGTGTCAGCTTCCAGGCATTCCAAAACTCTACAGTTTTCCACAGGAGTTGGCAAAACTTGCAATTTGAGGCAAAAGTTGTCAGAGCGAACTGCCCATTTGATATTCTCAGCTACACCCAGATTTGCTTTTCCTATTTAACATGTACATGGTGGAACTGCCAAAGCCACTGTAGAAGCTGCTAGTTTTGTTAAAGTTCCTTCATCTGTGATTTAGTATCTTTAACTCCTGCACCTGTGAAGGAATAATTCATTTTCATGAGAAGAGAAGGCTCAGAGAATTTTTTATGCCTATAGATATCTAAAGGAAAGATGTAAAGAGGATGGAGCCAGCAGGCTGTTTTCATTGTTGCCCAGTGTCAGCAGAAGAGGCAGTGGGCCTCACTGAATGTGTACAAGTCTACAGGGCTGGACAATACACATCCCAGGGTCCTGAAGGAAGTGGCTGATCTAGTTACTAAGCTGCTCACCATCATATTTGAAAATTCGTGGTTGTCAGACAAAATCCCTGCTGAGTGGAAAAAGGGAAACATTGCTCCCTTTTTTAGGAAATAGAAAGGAAGACCCAGGGAACCAGGGACTGATGAGCTTGTGCCTGGGAAGATCATGGAGTGGATCCTCCTGGAAGCTGTGTTAAGGCACATGTAAGATGAGGAGGTGATCCCAGAAAGCCAGCACAGCTTCACCGAGGGCAAATTGTGCCCTTATGAGTCTGGTGGCCTTTTACAATGGAGTGACAACTTTGGGGGACATAGGAAGGACAACTGATGTCATCTGCCTGGACTTGTGCAAGACATTTGACATGGTCCTGTGCTACATCCTTATCTCTGAATTGGAGAGATATGGCTTTGAAGGCTGGACAACTTGGTGGAAAAAGAATTGGTTGGAAGGTCGTAGCCAGCGGATTGTTGTCAAGGATGTGGTTGTCCTGGTGGACAGCAGGTTGGCTGTGAGCCAGCAATGTGCTCTTGTGGCCAAGAAGGAGAGTGGTATTCTGGGGGGGTGCACTAAAAAGAGCATAGTAAGCAGGTTGAGGGAGGTGATTCTCCCCCTCTGCTCTGCCCTGGTGAGGCCACAGCTAGAATACTGTGTCCATTTCTAGGCTTATCAGTTCAAAAAAGACAAGGACCTCCTAGAAAGAGTCCAGTGTAGGGCTAGAAAGATGAGGGGCCTGAAGCATCTCCCATCTGAGGAAAGGTTGAGAGACATGGGACTGTTCAGCCTAGAGAAGAGAAGGCAGAGTGGATATCTCGTAACTGTTTATAAATTTATAAAATGAGGGAGTCAAGTTGGTAGCGACAGACTTTTTAAAGTTGGTGTGCAGCAACAGTACAAGGGACAGCATGCAGAAACTAAAACTCAAGGAAGAGCTTCTTTATTGTGACAGTGATAGAGTACTGGATCAGGCTTTCCAGAGAGGTTGTGGTGTCTCTTTCTCTGGAGATATTCAAGACATGTCTGGAAGCCTACCTGTGTGATCTTCTGTAGGGTACCTGCTTTAGCAGGTTGTTTAGACCCAATGGTTTATAGAGGTCCCCTCCAAACCCTATGATTCTATGATTCTGTGACCAGGAAGAGGACAGGCACAAGTGGTGTCCCCCAGGGGTCAGTTTAAGATCTTTATCAGTGGCATAGATGATGATGATGTATATGCTTCAGCAAGTTTTCAGGTGACACCAAGCTCAGTAGTGCAGTTGACACCTCTTGAGGAAGGGGTGCTATCTAGACGGGCCTGGACAGGCTTGGAAATTGGGTCCACGTCAACCTAATGAGATTCAGTAAGACTAGGTGCAAGGTACATTTGGACTGGGGAAGTCCCAGACATGGGTACAGATTGGGAGAAGAACTCCCAGTTGAGATGAAGTTGAGATGAGTCCTACAGAGAAGGACTTGGGGGTTCTGGTGGATGAAAGGCTGAACATTAGCCTGCAGTGTGCTCTTGCAGCCTGAAAAACCATCTATATCCTGGGCTGCATCAAAAGAGACGTGGCCATAATGGAATAGGGGATGATTGTCCCCCTCTACTGTGCCCTCCATCTGGGTACTGCTTCTAGGCCTGGAGTACCCAGCGCAAGAAGAATGCAGAGTTGTTGGAGTGGATCCAGAGGAGGGCCGTGAAGATGATCAAAGGGCTGGAGCACCTCTCTTATGGAGGAAGGTGAGGGAGTTGGTCTTTAATTTCTTAGAGGAGAAAAAATTCCATGGAGACCTTATTGCATCCTTCCACTCCTTGAAGGGAGCTTATAAGCAAGAAGGGAAGTGACTTTTAAGATCTGGTAATGACAGGACAAGGGGGAATGGCTTTAAAATAAAAGAAGGGATACTTAGACTGGATGTTAAGAAAACCTTTGCTCAGAGGGTGGTGCGACCTTGTCACAGCCTACCCAGAGGAGCTGTGGGTGCCCATCTCTGGATGTGTTTGAGGCCAAGTTGGATGGAGTTCTGGGCAGCCTGATCTGGTGAGAGGCAACCCTGCCCAAGGCAGGGTATGTGGATCTCAGTTATCTTTAATGTTGCTTCCAACCCAAGCCATCCTACTAACTAACTGATGTTTTATTAAAATAACAAATATAGTTGCAACTCTTAATAGCACCATATACATAAGAAACTAAATTCTGCATTTCAGTTTTAATTTGCGTGCCTTTGATTTTATGGTTAGTTCATACTGTCCGGCTGTGAATTGTACTGACTGTCAGGTATGTAATTAAATGGAACCCACTGGAGTCATTGTAAGAATCTATCCTGACATACATATATGTCAACTGGATCTTTCCACATCACAGATTTAGAATCTGTTGAGTGTAACAGATACAGTTCTGAATGTATGATGGAAACATGTTGAGATCTGTTTAGCGTTTTTATGCTGGAACATGGCCTTCTTCCACTCTCTACATAACAAGAAGAGAGAAATGCTGAGTAGCTCTTCTGCAGTTATATGACCCTGGCATTGTTAGCCATTTTTGTTTGTGTATAGAGGAAAACAATACAGAAACATTAAAAAAAAAAAAACCAAAATCCTTCTTGTTTTATTGCATGTTTCCAGGTGATAATTTCATATACAATGGGGGAATTGCAACAGTGGAGCTTGGAAGACATTGCCTTAGGGGACAAAGAAACACATTCATGAGAAAAAGGACTTTGCTTCTTCTCTTCAGATCTCATTAGCCTATGCAGTTGCTTTGATGGATTCTTTTTAGACTTATTAACCATTAAATCTTTACTTGCAATTGCCAACAGGCATCTCCTCTACCCCAGCTTCTGCTCCTTTTTTTCAGACAATGTTTGCTATTACAGGCTTTCATAATTTAGTTGCCATTGAAGTAGAAGAAGAAAGTTGCCTGTTAGTTTGTGTCTCATTCTGTGTACATGGATACTTGACTGCAATGCTGATAGTTTTTATTATGAGGAAGTCTAAAAATATTTGAAAAAAAAAAACAGAAAAAGTCCAATTTTTTTTACAACATTCACTTTTTTTTTTTTCCAGGCAATAATAAACAGCACTATCACCCCCAACATGACATTTACTAAAACATCCCAGAAGTTTGGCCAATGGGCAGACAGCAGGGCAAATACAGTCTATGGCTTGGGATTTTCATCTGAGCATCATCTTTCAAAAGTAAGTATGAGCAACAAAAACTGTTTGGCAAGCCAAGCACCATAAGAATATTTGATTCCTGCTTGTTGTGCCTTGACTCAGTCTTGTTATTTACAAATAACAAAAAAATACCCTGTATCTACCCTTATAATTTGAAAAGACAAGACAGATCATGATGGCAGTATGCTTTTAACTCTTAGATAACTGTGTATTTTCTCTTAACTGGGAAAAGGGAGAAGATTTAAGCTTTTTAAATAGTAATTTGTTAGGCTTCTCTATTTTAAAGTTGTTGTTCTGTTACAGTTTTTCATAATAGAGTTTAAGAGTCAGCAAGTTAGTGTTACTTCTATATTGAGATGGCCTAGAAAATAAGTTACTGATAGTCTTTTGATGCTTTTTTGTCTTTTAAGTCACATTCATTTTAACTTTTCTTCTATGTGTATCTTGTTACAGATAATGTGACATCTGTAGGCTAAAGGTGAAGCTAGTGAAAAATTTATTTTGTGTAAAAGAAAAGTACTGTTTCTTGTTGCAGTACTGAAGTTGAAATAACTAATAAGGACATTCTGTGACACACGAGATTTTTTTTTTTTATATTCAACTTGAGCAGGAGGGTAGTCAAAGATAATCTGAAGAAAACAGTAAACCCTTTGAATAGTGATAGAGTTGTTGTGAGAAACACTTCTATAATACCTTTTGCTATTAATATGAATCTGGTAAATAATTATGGGAACCTGTACAAACCAGTGTCATCTTTCAACAGATAAAAAGCTCTCAGTTTGAGAACATGTCTATGCATTAAGCAGAATTCCTACATCTCTGAAGTACACAAAAGATCTGGAAACCTAATTGAAACAGAGATTAATGTATGGTTTGTGTTCAAGTAAGGAATCGTATTTGGCTTGTCTCAAAAAAAACCAAAACCAACACAAAACCAACTAACTAGCCAAAACATATCAATCCTTTTGGAAAGAAATTGTTAGTATACAAGTGGTAAGTGCGGGTCTGTTAGAAAATCATTAAAAAGACAACTACTACATCTACTTTATGTGGACAATGTAATATTCTCATAAGTTTTCTTCATTTTACAGTCAGACAGCTTTAATTTATATGAAGCAACACAAATCCACAAAATTCCAAGTGATACCAATGTTATATATATGCATGTAGATAGATTTATGCACATTATTGCTTCAGTGAACTTAGAAACTTCATCATTTAAATTGGTGTGTACATTTTAGAAGCTCTTGCTGACTAATACAGACACAGCTTTTGTTAGCATCTAAAAGGATTTAGTGTAAATGCCAATTTAGTTTATCTCTTTCATGTACTGTTTGTGTTTCTCAATCATAAAACACCTCTTTGGAAGCAAAATGTGATACTGCAGTCATGCATACCCTGTGCTTGCCAGGCTTCCAACGTTGGGTTGTTCTTGCCAAAGAACATGCATATGTATTTTCATCTGTCTTTTCCACCGCTCTTTCCTTGCTCTCCTCGGTGGCCAATTTAATATCATTCTTTAGCTGCTGTCAAACTGGTATTTAAGATTTTTCAGTATACTTCTGGTTTAAAATTTTATGTTGCTATTGTAAAAATAATAAGAAAAGGTACAGTAGATGTTTTGTCAAAAGGACATTTTTGATAGGCAGTTACTCAAATTGCTGTGATTCATGGAGGATACACAAGTCTGTTGAGAAAAATAACGAGTCACAGATCTATTCTGAAGGTTACGGTGACAAATTCTCAGAATGTTTTTAGGAAATTGTCCCCAGATTTATTCAGGAATAGGTTGTTTCTAGATGTTGCCTTGAAATTAATTCGGGAACTTTTTAAAAATGTATTTGATGAATCAGAGTCCCAAAGTGAATGTCCTTGTTATATGTAGCTGGTTTTGAAGAAGTGTCTCGGGGCTCTCTGGAGTATTTAAAGTTTCAGGGAACCCACTACTGCAAAACACTTTGTCCAGTCAGTGACTGATTTGAAAAGGCCAATGAAGCATATAATCAGGTCTTTTAATAAAATATTTATTCTTATATCATTGTCTGCTTAGCTGTGTCACTCTAAACAAGAATGATTATCAAAGCTTACTAAGTATTTGACTTTGCAACCATTTGGTTCATTTACCTTTGTCCTTCATAAACTAATTCCCAGAGTAGAGTGCATCAGTGGTAAACTTTTTTCTGTGTTATCATTGCGACTGTGAGAATATTTGATTAAAAAATAGATACATGGCAGTCAACTCTTTATGTGCAAGCAAGAAGATTAATTAAACATTTGTTTATCTTCATTAGAGCTTTTCTCAATGTGTCAGACCACAAATTCATTTTAAGATTATTCCATAAGGAGTCAGGCAGAAGTCAGCGGCTTTTAAAAGATGGTTTCTGCATTGGAGAGTATTCCCTTCACAGTATTAGGATTTTCTGGCATAGTCCCTCTTGCTTGTGAAGTAGGAAGAGTAGAATATCCCATGGTATTCATCAAAAACTGAAGCAAATTTCCCAACCAGAATGAAGTCTGTACTTCGGATAACATTCATCTGTATGGGAAGAAAAGCTCCTGTCTTATTTAAGTTAGTTGACCTGATTTATTGTGAACAATCTAAGAGTTATGAGGCATGACGTGTCATCGTGGGTATTATCTTTCCACAGTTTTTCATTGTTTCCTTAGATTATGAATCCTCCAGAGTACTCTTCTTTTCATACCATGAGACCTCTGTTTGTTAACTGGGGGTTGTATCAAGAGATTGCTATTACCCACCACCCAAAGATCTCAAGGAATTCTAGTAAATTGATGAGATTTTTCTTCCTAGGTGGCTCTTTTTCAGAATGTTACATGTTTACCAGTCTATTCACTCTTTTTATAATTTCTACCAGTGTGATACAGAAGATTATACTTACCGTCCTGTTTTTTTTCAACTGCATATTCTAAACTTCAGCATCATGTTTTCCATTTACCAGTCCTCTGGTCCTCAAGTCTTCGGACTTAAATAATAGGTTACCAATGAGATTTTGAGGTCTATGTATGATTATCAGTGCTCCTAGAAGAGTACGATCTAGTTCTGGGGATCCATTGCCAATTTTATCATCTGTTCTGAGACCTTTTTTGATGCTGGATTAGTTTTCATGCATGGTATTTTTTTTTATCTTCCTGTATCCAGAAAATGTATGTTTTTAAATAACCTACTAGCTGAAATGTAGGATTCCAGAGAAGAAAAATGATACTTCCTCAAGTGCTAATAGCCTTGACTTCCTAATAGTCCTAATAGCCAGGAGAAATTTAAGGATAATAAGACCTTTTGTGTCTTGAATAGCAAGTGAATTTCTAATTGAAAATAGTTGAGACTGTGTCAAACAAAGGTAGCCTTTTTAGCTTCTGTCTATGTGCAGTACAAAAGAAAACAACAACAACCATCCAACCAAAAAAGAAAAACAAACAACTCCAAAAAATGTATTTGTATGTTGCTGCTGGAGACATTTATAAACTGTTGGGAAAAATCCCAGTGTTTTTTTCAGAATGCAGTGTTTGGCCAATGGTAGTAAAATAATATTTATGTAAAAGCAGAAGCAAGTGAAATCAAGTGCTTAGCTACTTACAATTTGTGTGATGTAAAGCTGAGATCACTAAATTTTTCTCTAGCCAGAAAATTTAAGCAGAGTTCTTTATAAGTTGTTCAACTCTCAGGTTCAAGGCTGCAGGTATTTCTAAATTGCTGTTCTGTGAATATGTGTAGCAGAGACATCAAGCTTTCCAGGACAGTTACAGCAAGAAATGAACTTGACTCAGCATTCCCACTGCTGATTTCTTAGATAGCTATTGGAATTCTAAAAGCTTTTACAAAATTTGGGAAGGAATTAGTATTGCTTAAGTCATGAAAGAGTGAAGCTCTTAGGTCAGTTGTGACCAAATCTGGCTTCAGAATCTGGTTATTCATTGTAAGGAAGAGAATGAAACCTAAATCTGACAGCAGCTATGTAAGACGGTTTATTACTATTACTGGCTATATCTGAACTGGTTTGTTTGGTTGGTTGGTTGAAACATTTTTGCATTGTTAATTTCCTGCTATGTAAACAGTGCATTCTGTCTGAAAATTACTGGAAGCTATGCCCCTGTGTAACTTGATCAAATGAGTATCTAATAGGGAAAACAAAATTTAAAAATTCTACTAAGATAATCTGACATTGTACAATGCAGTATGTTCTGCATGCAATGTAACTAATTCACACCTACTCTCTTCTTTCTCTATTTTCTTTTATAATAACATATGTACATTCAGTTTGCGGAAAAATTCCAGGAATTCAAAGAAGCCGCACGGCTAGCAAAGGAAAAATCACAAGAAAAGATGGAGCTGACAAGTACACCCTCTCAAGTGAGTTTTTCTGCCTCTTTCAAGGCTTGTATTTCAAATTCTGTGCATACTGTTTTAAGAATTTGTACTGTATCTTACAAACACATGCTCTGTTACAAAAAGGAACAGGGTATTTCCCATTTAGCTTGGATCCTTTCAATGGTCAACCGTAGAAGTGTTCAGAAGTCTAAGAACACTGTTAATGTATGTTCTAGAGGAGTCAAAGGGAGTTGTTTCTGGAGCTGGCTAGATCTGGCTGCTGTCCACCATGGGGCAGCTCCAGGACTCGGCTAACAGAGGCCAGAGGTTTGGGGCAAGGGGTAAGGAGAGGCATGGACAGTCCAGCTGACATAAGTGAACAGATATTCAATACCATATTAGGAGTTGATTTCTTTTTTTCTTTTCAGAGGAGAAAAATGAACTGTTTGTTTCTTTCTCATTCCTTTTTTTGAACTTCACCTAGAATATTAGTAAAGATGGTGAGCTGTTATGTAAGAAAATCTGTAGTTAAGACCTTTTATTACTTGTTATATCTCTGAGACTTGAGCTGATACATTTTAAAGGACTTTATGTAAGAATCATTCAAACAAAAATCAAAGTTAAAGCAGCAAACTATTTTTACTTATTTCCAACTTTGTAGTGTTCATTTGTGTTGTGTGAAGGTCAGTGATAGTCTTGTGTGGGTTCCGAGTTTTATTACAGTTAGCCATATTGCAAAAGAAGAATTAGAAAAAGATGTTTCTAAGCATGTGAACTAGGTTAATATAAGCCCAGCAGAAAGATAATATGGTTATATTTGTTATATTTACATTAATCATACCTAAAATTAAGTTCCTTGAAAGTAGATACTTTGAATTTGCTTTCGGGGAGAAAAAAAAAAAAAACAAACAGAAATTGCATGAGGCATTTGTACTCATCCATTCCAGTGTTTTAGTGCAATTGTGGAAAGGTGTTTCCTATTTTTGGAAAATTACACAGCTTTACAACTTCAACAGGGATTCCTTATTGCGTAGGATTAATGCAGCTGTGTTTGCTTTTTTTGTTTGTTTGTTTGTTTTTGAGAGTGCGTTTTTATTCATTGAATGAGTGCATCTCTTTGGTGTTTTTGCACTGATGGCAAAAGGATGGCATGTGGTTTGCAGCATGCTGTAGAAGTAGGTTTACTGCTTCAGAAGAAAGATACATCTGATGTTCTTTGAGGAGAAGTCAGGGAAGCAGCCTCAAGAATATATACAGTGAAATAGCTTCATGTTGTTTTCACTGGTAGGCATTTTGCCCTAGTGCTAAGTTGACTTATGGTATCAAAGGGAAACTGCTTCTGTCTGTACTGTAAGAGGAGAAAAATGAGGCAGTCTTTTTTTTTTTTTTTTTTAGTACTGATCTTCATGACTGTCTCTGAATTTCTGGTAAATTTCATAAGTGCATAGATAATGGAAGCAGATTTTGACATTATTAACTAGTGTATACACTTAGTTTTAAAGACAGTGGAGAATTTCAGCTAGGCCTCTAGTTACTGAACATTAAAGATGAAGTTATTACTGTGCTTCTGTTTTTGCTGTACTAGTTAACAGTCTGGACTCAGGAGTTAAATCTGACAGTGTCAAATGGAGTCACTTACTTGGTTTGGATGTAAGTTTGAATTAGTCAGAGACGAGATTTTTTTATCAAGCAGTTGCCTAGGGTTAAAGCTTTCACTTTTTCTATATAAGCTATTAATATTGTTCATTTCCTGTATACTTGGAGCCCAACATTTTATGCTGTAGGCAGCTTTAGAAACGCTACCTTGAGCAATTCTGTAATGCATGTTGAGAGCTGCAATTTTATTACTGTACACTTAAGAACACCTTCTTATTCAGTCCTTCCTTTTTATTTCTTGGCTTTTAACTGCATTGGTAAGTCAGTGTATTTCAAAAGGTATAGTTAGCGCAAGTGCTGACATATCAGCACAATGGTTGTCACATACTCAATGCTTCCCATTAGTTCCCCAGAGAGAAGGCAGTTGAATCAGGAATTCTGGAGTTCAGAGCAGATGAGCAGTGATGGTTTTGTGGCATACTTCGACACTTATATGATGCTAGGTTTATTCAAAGAAATTTATAACTGAGGGGGAAGATGGATGCTTGGCAGTGGGTAAGGTAGGTGGGACACTGGAGACCGAAGGAGTACTTTCTGTCATTTTGATAGTCTTTCCAAAAGTGGTTGCAGGGCACTTAACTCCAGTGTTGTTTTTCTTAATCATTTTACAACTGTTCTTTTCCCTTTTTCTTTGGATTCCAGCAAAAGGACGTGAGGGACTGGCATGGAGCTGCATCAAAGAGTGCTCAAGTTGGGTGTTAGGAAAAGGTTCTTCACCAGAGTGTGAAAAAGGCACATAACAGACTCCCCAGAGCATGGTCATGGCCCCAGCCTGCTAGAGTTCAAAAGGCATTCAAAAGGACAGTGTTCAAAAGGACTGTGCTCTCAGAGTTTAAATATTGAGCGTTCCTGTCCGGAGCCTAAAGTTGGACTTGGTGATCCTTGTGGGTCCCTTCCAACTTAAGGAAAGAGATTCAGTGGCCAGGCAGGACTTCCCAAGAACGTGTTGGTTTTTTTTCTGGGGAAACTTTGACAGGAAAGGGTGGGAAGTGGTGTATAAACAGTGTGGTTTATAAGAATATTGCAGTTAACTGCAAGGGTGAGTCCTCTGCTGCCACAGACTTTCTGATAGTCCTTCTGCATCAAATTAATGATAGGAAAATACTGTATATCAAAACTGGAAAATATACGCTTAAAGCTTACATTAAATATCTTATAGCAGTGTTTAAAGAATGTCTTTCTCATTGTTTACCAGTTTATTAAATGTATTGGGTAAGGTACACTGTTCACCCCTCTCTGCTGCACAGTTCTAGGAAAAGAAGGACGTATGCTTTTTCTGCATTCAGTGTGTTCCTACATGTTAAATCTTTATTAAAATATGTTTACATCTAGCATAACAAAACCCTGCACAAAGCATTTACTGCTCAGCATTGTCTGATGCAGCTCTGCAAATATTTCTGGCATATATCAATTTTAATTCTGAATGTCCTTTAGGAACTTGATGTGAAAGTACAGAGAAAAATAATAAAGGAGATAACAACAGAAATGTCACATAAATAAAACAGGAATTTATAGCTCATGTACTTTCCACTTAGCCGTGTTGGAAACTTAAGACCCATCTTATCTAAAGTCCACTGAAGTTGGGCTATTTTTCTAAGATGCTGGAGTTTTAGAAGTGTTGGTATTGCTTAGCTAAGTATTTCCCACCTTAGAAAAGTCCTTTGGTGGCTAGGAAGTAGTAGTCCCATGTTAAGATTTTTTTTTTTTCCTACTTGTTTCATTCAAGAACATGTATTCTTCAACTATTTTTTTTCCCCACTGAAACACTTTCTAGAAATTCTACATTCTTACGGTTCTTTAATACTGCTTGTCCTTCCCCCATTTACCAGCAGGCTTTGGTTTAATTTCCCAGCATATCAGGTAATAAATAAAATCACTTTAACCAGAAAAAGAACATAACTTGTCCAGGGAATTACAGTGGAAGACCAACAAATCATGAAAGATGGTGCTTTGTTGTATGTAAGTCACGCTGAGAGCATGGTCTTTTTTACTAGTAGAGAGAAAAGCATTATTTCTGTATCAAAGGACTTGTACTTTCTACTCATCTCTATTAAGACAGATTCATGTAACAGTACAGACTTTATTTATATCTGAGCTGTATGAAAGCATCAGTCTGAGGTGGACTAGAAAGAAGATGTCAATGTTGGTACTTCTGAGACCACTTGTGCAAATAGGTACCCTATCTGTCGTCCTTTTAACCTTACTTTTGTGTTAGGGTTTTGCAAGGATATTATGTTGTTCATATAACACTAAAATACAGCCTCCTCTCCTCTGCCACCTCTTCTTTTTCAGACTCATCTTCAATACAGAGAAATAAAACAATGGATCTTACAGTAGCAAGAGACTTACGGCTTATTTTCTGTTACTGGTTTGCCTGCACATTTAAAGACTAGCACTTTGTTACACAGTTCACTGAACTGCATGAGGCAATAGCCTGAAAACTGTTTTGTTGCTGTTTTTGTTGGGATTTTTTAGCCTTTTTAAAAATTTTTTTTAAATACGTTCCAGTGCAGAACTAAATGTTACAGAACCCTCACTCCACTCTTAAAAGTTATGTCTGAATCTCAGTTCTTCTCTTCTCTTAGCCAGAATCTGCCCTTAGATGTTTCTTGTGACCGCAGCCATTTTAATAACACATCTGAAATTTTGTGCTGTCATTCAAAACAATCCGACTCTTCTCTGAGGCCTTTCATATGCACACTAATTAGGATAGTGATAGTCTGCTAAGTTTTGTATCAGGTCTTTCTATAGTGCAAGGAATAGACCAATTTTGGCAAAATGGTCATGGTTTTGTCACCTGTTGGCTGCTTTGTGGACAAGCAGTTTTCTTACACAACTTGTGGAAAAGTGACTGTGGGATGTATTGGTGCAAGTGTTTCCACTCGTATTATGGCACCTGAGTTGATAGCTGGCAGCCTTGTGAAATTGCAAGGCGGGAACTGGACAGAGAAATACAAGCTAGTGTATGGAATACTAATAACAAAAAACAATGCAACACTTAAAAAAACAAGGTGGAATTGATTTACAGGCAGCGAACCTTTAGGTATTACAAAAACTGTCATGTTTGTCTGCTTGAATTTTTGTCACTCAATTTTCACTCAAATTGGGAGTCTATGACTGTGCCTTACTAAGAAATAGGCAAAGATGGGACTTGCACATTTTTTTTTCTGCTGAAGAGAATTCTTTCATGCTTTTGTACTTAGCATGTTCTAATAGATAATCTGTGGCTTTATCAGCGTAATAATAGTGTTCCAGGAATTTCAACTTGAAGATACAAGCAAACCAGTTTTCATGGGTTATAGTATGTATTTTTTTAGAGCATAAAGTGTAACTGGGGAAAAAGAGGAAGTAACAGAAACTTTTGGGTGCATACTGCCTTTCGTTTAATGTAGGTGGAAACTCTCTATCACATCAGAGGATAATAATAGACAAAAATGCATAATTTATATTACACAATGTATGTGCCTGATTATCTTGCCTATTATACTCTTCTTCCACACTTAATTTCAATTCAGCTTCAGTTCAGCAAAATTGTTCTGTAAAAATCAAGGGTTATTTTTGACTTTTAGGATATTATCATATGAGGTTACTTTTGAGTATAAAGTAACAGATTTCCTCCCGAAAGTCGAGAGCAGTTTACATTCATGAAATAAATGATTTGCATTTATATTACAAATAACACTTTATATTTGTGTGGCAAATTAGGATAAAGTAATTATTTTCTACTTTACAACCCACCAGAATTTAATAAGATTGGAGAAAGTAATACAGTGAAAAATGTGAATTACAGTATTCTTGGATAAGTGACATGAGGGCTTTGTGGAAGGTGATGACAACAACTAGATCTTATTTTTCTCAAAAGATCTTGAGTTATTCCATGAAAGTCTCAAAGGTCCTGGGCCATGTTTCCTGTAGATGTAGATTCAGTACTGCCTTGTAAGCTAGTTGAAGGCTACAAGTAGATGCTAAAAATTAGACCTTAATCTTTTAAGACCATGAGTCACATACTTTGCAATTCTTTCTGAGATTGCTATTCTTCAGCTTTCTAGGCAATGTCAAAGAGCTGGAAAGAGGAGCACTTAACCTTTCAGAGCCTGTGCTTTTGCTTCAGTTTAATATTATTAAGTAGCAGCCTTAGCCATTACCCATGCAGATGGTATGAGTCTGTGTGGTCGTAGGAGATGCTTGGCTTTTAGAACAGTTGTTATTCAGCCATCTTCTGCTGTGCGGTCATGATGTTGATTTAATTCTAAATGAAAGTCTTTTTTCATGAGTTAGATTTTGCCACTTCACGACTAAAAGCTTACTAAGGTATTTCAGGTAGGACAGGCACTTAGCTTATCACTCTTTTATCTTCTGTGACAGCCATTATTTGATGAAGAGTATAATGGGAAAGAAAATACTAAAATTAAATTGTGTACAGGGATTGAAAGTCCTGTAATGTTCTCAGTTCAGAAGTGGGCTATATGGTGTACTTTTTTAAAAAAAGAAATAGTTTCCAGTGTTTAGAGATCAGCAAGTAATATTTGATGATCAAAACACAAAGGCATATTCTGGTATGATAAGGATGAATTGAAACTGCACCAGTGCCTTCTGGCTAAGAGACAGGCATCAAGTTTTTGAGGTATCAAGTTACCTAGGAGCAGTGGAAGCTGCCTGCTTGTATTTGGAATATTGCTCTTCCCAGATGGTACCATGAATAGCAAGAATGAGAACCAGGCTAAACTGACCATAAGTTTTGCAAGGACTCTACTGACCAAGCATTATTTACAAAGGAGTCTTCTACATCAGACTGACTGCAGTAGCAAAGACTCTTCTACTCTTTACTTAGGTTAATGCTGAATATGAAGTTTGGATTTTGAAACAGCAAAATTTGTTTCTTTGTGTTAGAATATAAAGTAAGGGGTAAGAATCCTGGGAGTGAATAGTTGTGGGTTTGTGGCTGAATGTGAATATCAGGCAAGAGTGATAGACATCTATAATAAGAAGGATGCTGAATGCTTGCAAATCATGTCAGTTGTGTTTTGTGCAAGACAGTGTGAATCTGATGGTAATATGCTTCTAAATTAAATCACATGATGAAACATGTCTGTGGGGAACACTGGAAATCTGTGAGCTTCACGTTAATATTGGCTAAAATTTGTATCTTATGTAAGAATTAAAGTTATGCTTATTAGCACATTGTCATCATGAGCAGGCCAGTTTGTAATTCTAATTTATCATTTGTTTGTTTTACATAAGGAATCGGCTGGAGGGGATATTCAGTCTCCTTTAACGCCAGAAAGCATTAACGGGACAGATGACGAGAGAGCTACGCCAGAAGTGACACAGAATTCAGAACCAAGGGCTGAACCAACCCAGAATGCATTGCCATTTACCCATAGGTACAGATTCAATTCCCACATCCTAATAAAATGATATCTGTCTTCTTCCTTGTTAAAGGGACCTTTTCCATGCCATGGCTTCTACCTAGCTCAGTTAAGAATTAAATCATGTGGTTTTTAATAAAATAAAACAAAATACAGGACCTGCTTTCAGATTTGCAATATAATCATTGTTTTCACAACAAAGAAACAAAATTATGTATGGGGAAGTCTCTTGGAATGAGACTAGGAGTGCATTACTTTGTAATTTATTCAGCTGAGCATGAGAATTTGAATGCTCATTAGTACAGGCGTCCCTTTAACAGGAAGCGTGATTTCAGTGACTGAGATCTTAGTAAAGATAACCACTTCACAGAATATTCCAGTTAAATTATTTTTGCAATTTTTATTTAAATAACTGGTAACATTGGATTGGCCTTTCAGTGATAACTTGTTGGAAGAAAAAGACTCTTATACCGCTTCTGGATTATGCAGTTTAAAGCAGCCTTTAGTTTAGCAGCCTTTAGCAGCACAGTTATAATAGTTGAAAACATTTTTTCAACTTTTTTTTCAGAACACAGGAGATGTGTAGTTTTGCTCCAGACTGAATTATAATTCATTGCACTTGGAAGCAACCTGATCTAGTAGAAGGTATCCCTGCCTGTGGCAGGGGAGTTGCAACTAGGGAGCCTTTAAGGTTTCGTGCAGCTCAAACCATTCCATGTTTCTATGAATGCTGTATTCCATTGTGTTCTGTTAAAAAAACAAAGAGTTTTTATCTAAATGAGCTAAGATGGATGTATCTTATTTGTTAAAAATTACTGAAAGTAGAACTCAATAAAACACATTATGTACTGAGACCATGGAGAGTAACATAAATATTTAATGAACTTAGAGGAAAGCTAGAAATACTGCATTACTTTTTTTTTAGCAAGTGGTCTCAATACAGCTTTATGCCCTTCATCAAAATTTGGGGAACAACAGAACTTTAGATATTATTCAAAGAATTTGGAATGAGCAGAGATGAAATTATTCAAAACTTCCCATTTTTGTGAGAGAATAATAGAAGTAATCTTTTACATTTTTCAAATGAGAAAAAAATTATACTTTTGCACTAATTTTTTAGCAGAATTATTGTGTTTATTTTTATACTTCAGCTAGTACCAGAGCATTTATTACATGTTTTAGAAGAAACGGTGCCTTGTAAGAGCACTGTTTGCATCTTGATGGAATTTTATGAATGTTGCATGTCTATTAGTGTTCTGTAAAGAGTACTTTTTACTTTTATGTTGGCATTCTCACTATTTTGGGGAAAAGTAGTTGTGGTAAGGTCCACAGACTGTAAGTGTTTTTTTGTTTGTATTTAATGATAGCTGCAAGATCTTCTCTCTATTTATGTAAGTGTAAATATGACTTCTGGAATGTCTCAGTATAGTACCAGATATTGCTTTGCATGGAGCATGACTGAAGATGTTTTCAAAGCTACCTGGTTGTAATTGTGGATGGGGTAGAACAGAGGTAACAAAACTACCAGGTTTTTTCTTTCATCTGCATGTATGCAATGTGAGTGCCTGGTTTTAGTTTCTTGTGTGGTGATAAACCAGTAGCAAGAATTGGCATTGCAGTGATATCTCTGTCTTTAGAGATATGTCTATATTTAGATATCTCTAAATACAGAATGATGACATTTCTTATGATAATTCTCAAAAGACATCAGTTTTGTCTTGCTGATGGCAGCTGCAAGCTTGTAATGAAGCAAAAGAAGAGAAAAAAAAACAGCCGAAGACATTTATATACTATTATTTAACAAAGAAGAAAATGCTTGCTAACACTTTCTGACCATTTTTTCGTATAGAAGGAAAAGAAGCCTTTTTGTATGTATGTGAGAGTCAAGGAACACTGTCTCAATCCAAGGGAAGCTACCATTTAAATTCCTTGTATTTCGAAAGATACCAGTTACATGATTATGTTTCACAAGTCATTGTCAGAACTTGGGTTGGAAATTAGCTTCTTTACTTTGATTTAGCTATGTTCTGCTTCGGTGTGACAGGACCTGCTCACCAGGGGAGGGTCCAAAAGTGATGGTGTAGGCTGGTGCACAAGGCAGGCTTAGGTCAAGCCACAGGCAGAGGCTGGAGCTTCGTGCAGCAAGGTGCCACAGCACCGCACAAGGTGGAGGTCCAGGTGGGAGCTGCATTGCTGCTGAGAACTGGGCAAACTCAGCTGTGTGCAGCGTCATTGCAGCAGAGGGTAGGGGTAGGAGGTTGAAGTTGTTGTTAGAACAGTCATTGGGGGAGGGAACTGTTATGTTTTTGTGTGAACTGGAAGGGTCTGATAGATGTTAACAAGGTCAGGATCGGAAGCGTGGAGTTCATGCTGTAAGCTACATCTCGCTTGTCATTTTTAATCTGCACACCTGAAAAATGTTCTATTTCATTTTGTTCTAACTCATCTCTCTGGACAGATAACGTCGTCTTCCGCACTTTGTATGTCCTGGTGTGATTAGTTGGGCTTGTATTATTTCTGCAGCGTAAATGTAGACTACTTTAGTATTTATAGTTATTTTCTGTCCATTTATACCCCAAAAACTGAATAAAAGCATTACTTAATTCACTAGTGTTTTGTTATTAGAAATTTAATTTCTTATTATTTCAGTAAATAATTGTAAGTATTGAGATGAACTTAATCTAACAAGTCCCATTCATGTCCCACAAGTGTAACAGAACAAAAGTCTGTCTAGTTACTTCAATTTATCCTTAACTGGAAAGTCCTAAAGCTGTCCACAAGCAGTGTGATTCTAGTCAACTGCTTGAGAGAGAACACTATTAAACTGTTATGAGCCTTGCACAGGAAGATAAATCCCTGCAGTTAAATCTCTTGCCTTTTTTAAAACTAAGATAGTTAATGTTGAATTATGAAGTATTATTACCTGGGAACTTTATATTTGTCATGAATAGCCTGAACATTGCGATCATTATTAAATATTGCCAGAAGAAATGAAAATAAAAAGTAGCCTAAGCTGGCATTTTAATTTTAATAATTTTGGCCGAGACATTGATGAGTACTTTGCTGAATGATGGCTAGTCCAGGGATACTTTTTTTTTTATTTTTTTTTTTTTTTTGCTATAAAAGCTAGTTAATAAAATCTAATATTTAAAATAAGACTAAAGGAAGGACAAATTTTCTTTCTTTATTAAGTCTTGGTCTACTCAGATGTCTTTCTTAGTTTTTTCCTGTCTTTTTACCTTTGGCATTTTCTTTAAATTGTGGGAGGTTTGTTTTTTGGTTTTTTTGTTTGTTTGTTTGTTTTTTGTTTTTTTTTGGTTTTTTTTTTTTTGTTTGGTTTGGTTTGGTTGGTTGGTTGGTTTGGTTTTTTTTCAATTATGTTTTGTTTTCTATTTTTTTAAACTAAAAAATAGTTTGATCATAAAATGGAGTTCAGGGAGAAAGTAGATGCTAGTAAGTTTTTAACCACTTCTGATGTGACTGTACCTGACTCTTAAATGCAAGTTTAATTATACTGATGCACAGTATGTAGAATGCCTAGATGTCTGAATGAGCCCAAAGGAATACTTTTCTAAGCTTATTCAGCCTTAGAATATAATTCAAGTACAAAAACTGAATAGTATGCCAGGCAAAATCTGCAAATGCTGCTTGGGATGTTTTGGTAACTGTTTGATGAATTTGCTTTTTTTCCCCCTTGAAAAAAATACATTTCTTCATAACAAGTTTTATTCAGTTTCTTGGCACAGTAGAAATCTGTGGGATAAAACACACTTTCAGAAACAAAGCTTACTATGAGAGGATTCTTCTGGGACAAATCTTGAAAGCCTTCAATTTTGTGTCAACCATGACTTGAACCTATTACATCATTTTTTCATGTCATATATGAAGATGTTCCATCTAAACTTAATGAAAGTTGGAATTTCTATAACTTATTATTTCAAACTGACAATACATATGTGTGTGTTTGTTGCTTGTTAGTTAAAATTCCTATTTGGTTGGACGGGGTCCTGGACAACCTGATCTGAATGTGTATGTTTGGTGGCCCTGCTAGGCAGGGGGGTTGGAACTACATGATCCTTGGGGTCCCTTCCAACCCGGGTGATTCTGTGATTCTGTGTGATTCTGTGATTCTGTGATTTAATATGAAAGTTTGACTCACTGCCTTAGTGAAAACAGACTCATTTCAAATGATGTTGGTATCTTAGATATTTTCTGTCTAGATAGATTAACTTTTAATAATGCTGCATGTAAATCCAATTCTGTAACAAAAAAAAAAACAACAACAACAACAAAAAAGCCAAACCTAAGATCTTGCTGCTAGGTCGTGTTCTTTCACTGAGTTATCATTAAAAATTGTACACAAATTTTTTAGTAGATTTTTCACTGTGTGTTACAAACGTGCTTCTATAAGCTTAAGCATTTTAGTTATATTACAGTAAAAATACTTTATGGATTGTGTTTAATTGTTAAGTTGGCTTTGAAGAAAAGTTTTGAGATAACAGGTTTTTTGTGCTGTCTTGTAACTTGAATTTATAGTCAAATCCCATTATTAGGATGCTCTTTATGGTGATACATACCATTTTCTTACCAAGTCGTGCAGGTGGTGCACACAACATATTTTTCATTCTGGATTTTAAATGCTATGTAGCCTGATCTTAGGATACTTTTATGCTGTGCAGAACATCAGGAAGACTGTAATAGAAGCTCCTTCTCAAAGCAGGTCAGCTATGAGATCAGACCAGGCTGCTCTGGGCTTTATCTAGTTGAATTTTGAAAACCTCCAAGAATGGAGACTGCTGAAGCTAGATGTCTTTTTAAAAAGGTATCTCTATGACATAAAAGAGAGTACCTGTATTTGAAATGCATGGTGCTATAAAGAACTGTGGCATCTTAGGGCACTAGAGAGACTCCAGTAAATTCAACTACTCTTTTGATAAAAGATTATTATTTCTTGGTACACATTTAGAGAACCAGCTCAAAGACAATCAGTTCCCACTGTCATTGTAAGCAAAGAT